TATATATATATACATTCTCTAATATAAAGGATATTGCACGCGGGCAAACTATATTATTGGGCGTATGAGTACATTATACCGTGGATACACTACATAATATGATACGTTAGCACGAAGGAATCTCCACAATGGCTTCGCGTCGGCGAACGAGGAAATAAAGCTTCGCCGTATACCCTATTATACGTATACATCAGCCACGATAATGTCAATGAACCATTAGCCAAAGTCTTCCAACTGCAGTTGTTTGACTCCGTGGGTAAAACACGATTTTCACCGTCGCCGTTATTATAATTTACGGCCACAATAATCCAAGACTGCATATATTATACGGGCCTTCATTTGTAAATTCGTTCCCGGGGTATATTATATACTTCATAAAGCAGAGACCCTACGCGCACAAAGATGCTATCTGCGTTGTAACGTATACGTCCTAGAGGTTGCTTCGTACAAAGCGTTCATATATTTTTAGCTGGACATAGGAGCAAACTTTTTTTTGTTTTTTTTTTGTTTCATCGCCCGTAAAGCACTGCCAAACGAGTGTGGTTTTCACCGGGGGTGAGCTAGATTCTCATTTTAACTTTTACCGCTTCTGCGGTGTACCTTTTCTTTTTGCTCATTCGCGACGAGGAATAAATGCTGGGGAGGGTGAAAATTCAAGGTGTGCGTGCTGTTATTTTGAGTGTATTTACGGTACGTGTGAAAAAATCATAAAAATCAATCCACGCAGGAGAGAGGTGTGCGGTAATGAGTCGACGAAAATCGTAAAAAGGATTTGTATAAATTATTGCCGATTCCTTTCTAATTTAAGTTCTAATTTAAGAAAGGTATAGGTACTAAATAAAAATTGAATAAATAAAAAAATGGCCGTTTACATTTTCGGGTCCAATCGACCCCCGCATGTTGTCTTTGGCAGAGAAAGCGCGATCAAACTCCCGATAAACCTAACGGACTCCTACATGTATTACCACCCCACTTCATATATGATACGAGCATACCCATACGGTCGTGACTCAATCATTATGGATGGAACAATAACATTGTTATCCACCTCGTCCCCCATGTTATCGACATTTCGTTACGAAGAAAAAAAAAAAAGGGGCGAGTCCGGTTGTTACGGTCACGCAAAAACAAGGGGATCGGCAAGTTCTAGCCCACCGCGTGTAAGAAACGAATGAAAGAAAAACAGCATCGTCCCGCGCGCGCGTCTACCTCGTAAGCTCAACCAACCCCCGTATGGCCAAATCCCCGTTCCCTGCGAGAGGGGGTCGCGGCTCTATGGCTACAAAGAGAAAAAAGAAGGAGGAGAAGGGCTTTAGCACAAACCACCATCGCCACAAGCAGTCAGAAGACAACTAAACGTTATCTACCTTTCTCTTTTTTGTTTTTTTTTGTTCCATGTGGCAGTAAGTACTTACAGAAGCAGTACAAGAAACTGCATCGGAAAACAGGGAGAGAAAGTATACAGTGCCTCGGCTGTTCCACGCGGTCGGATGAGGAGACCCGCGGAGGTGGTGGTTACACAGCAAAGCAGCGGTAAGGCGCGTATTGTAGTATGCCCTCGAAGAAGCAGTACAACCTCGTGCAGAATGACGAGAACGACACGCGCATACCGCTCCACAGCGAGGAGGCCTTCCATCGGGGCATCGTTTTCCACGCCAAGGTGCGTACAACACACACACACACACGTACATGTATATTACCTATAAAATATTGTATCAAACTCGTATACTTACACCCCATTCTCCCAAGTCGTCTCTCTCTTTTTTTCACGTCGAATCCATAGAGTATAACCGTATAAAAGAATCTGCCACGTGGTTGGGGGTCGTTGATCTCCGTAGCATCTCGTGTCTTGATGTTTTTTTTTTTT